TTCCTTAGCATCTGCCATGTTTTCCATAATCTCAGGTTTAGGTTTTAGAGTTAATGAAGGAAATAACTGACAGTAACAGAAATAAGATGGCATCAGTATTGTGAGAAAGCAAGGTAACCTTGTACCTAAAGTGAGGGACAAAGCATTAGTCCCTATTGACCACCCTACTATTTGAATTTAACTTGAGGATTATGTACATGGACTTTAATAAAAATTCTGATAAAGTCCCACGCAACAGTCTGATAAATGACTTGGAAAAACATGGGCTAGAAATGTTGAAAACCAAAAGCAGTGGGATAGACTTCCCAGGGGAGTTGTGGAATCCCCTTCAACAGAGGTTTTCAAAGGTGAATGGTTAAGCATTTGGCTGGGGTGGTTTAGGAGTAGCTCCCTCCAATCATGAAAGAAGTTTGCCACCTACTGAGGTTCTTTCCCTCCCTTTGCTTTTCTAGCCCATGCATGCTAGTCTAAGATACCTTCAGCCTGACTGGGTGATGACACCCTTAATGCAAACAGCAGGCATCTAGAAGGAGAGAGAAAAGGGCAGGATTCACAGCAAGTCCAGCACTTAGGTAGCTAAGCCCAGCTGAGACTCAAGGCACAGCTACACTTGAATTGGGTCATGGTAGACAATGGCTTTGTTAAACATACACTTCTCACACTCCACATACTGAAAGAAATGCCCAGGGTGCACCCAGCACCATTATCAGTCTTGGGCCTGCTTCAGTGTCCCCCATCATGATGAACAGGGAAGGGTTACCTCCCTCAGAGATATGGTCTTATTAGGTTGCCTGCAGGCTCAGGCAGGCAGACCTTACCTACCTCAGTGACATTCAAACCATGTTCTTGATTTTACCGTCACTAACATAAAAGCTAGAAACAAAATTGTTTTTAATGAAAGCTTAGATTTTGATGTCATCATGTGACTCCAGATGGCAGGTATCTAGAGTACCAGTGATTTAATCTGGCTATAAATCTGCAGTGATAGCAGAGTGGGACACATTTAGATAGTGTGGGTAAAGGGAAGACAGAGAGAGAGAGAGAGAAAAAATGAAACTTGTTTTGATTGAATAATTGCAATTTTGGAAATCTGATTTTGACCAGTCTCCTTCAGTTGCCCCTAATTAAAACTTCCATGTGGATCCATAGTACTTCCAGAACTGCTAAAAGGCATATTTTATATTGAAACATTACTGTATCAATCTAGGTGCCTATGGTGTATCATCTATGAGTAATATGAAGGAAGAAACATTTCACTTGACAGAAGTGCTTGCAAAGTTTGTATCTTTTTGTATCTTTTACTGTAGCAACTAAAATCATAAAAGGCAAGAAACCACAAATGGCAACTAACTTTTTATTTTCCCAGTGGGATTTCCATCATCACATTAAAATTGGTTAATTTTTTATCCAATAAAGAGTAGCTGGAAGTGTATTTCTCCCCTCTCTGCATTTGCTAAACTAATCAGAAGGGCCAAGTGACAAGTCCTTTATTTAAAATGAAATAATCCTTCCTCGCATGTTCTAATTCCTCTAAAAACACATTCAAGCTTTCAGTTCTCTTAGGAAAAGACCTGTTTTGTGCCAAAATAGTTTTGCTGACTCAATTTAAAACCTACACGTTATCTGAGCCCTGTAACTGTGGCCTCGTTTTACAAGATGCTGAGAATCCTCAACTCCTGATGGGAGGAGTGCCTTGCAGGAGCTCAGCACCAACCAAGAACAAGACCAGGAGGTTTGAGTTGTTATTAAGTTATGGAAAAATCAAGCTATCACCCTAATAATTACTTCTAAAAGAAGGGCTGATGGTATTTAAAGTCCAATGCTGAACATTGCATATGCCTTTCTACAGTCTGAGAAGGATTTGTTTCCAGAAATCGCTTGGGATCTGAATGCTGATTTGACTGAAAGGACTTCCAAACCCTAGGGATTCACTCATTAGGACCGTAAAGAAAGCAAAACTTGTTCATGTTGCTATTTCACAAAGTATACAGCTTTAGAACTGAAAATGAAATCTATCTCCATGTGTAACTCCAGAGTAATATTCATATGAGCTTTGTGTGGTATTCATAGTATTGTACATATATTTTAGGGCTTTCCACAAGTTTTAGAGAAGGATGACACCACTGAATTCAACAGAGATATTGGATGTAGATTTGCATTGATGTAAGTAGAATCACTCCCTTAGTTTTTCCTACCTTTAAATATTTAAACCTTTGCTTAAAATGGATTTAACTCCTCCTTTTTCACTCCAAGTGATCTAGCTGATTCTGCTTCATGGGTTGGGTGAAGTATCTTTCCAGTCTTGCCAATCAACTTTATTACTTAAAGTGAAAGAGCTGTTTTCATCCCAGGCCATCACTGCATTTTCTGTGTCTGTCCCACTGTTCCCCAAATCAAGAGCCACCCATTTCAAAACCCAGTGGTATGTATACCTATGCCTCTATAGTCAACAACTATCTTGCTGGCTGCTGTTGCTTGCTTAGACACATACTAGAGTGGGGAAGTAGTGAAATGCGAGAAGACTGCAATGTTAGTCGTAGAACTTCAAGTGATACAACCTTATTGACAATTTTCCAGAAATATTTCTTGCTTTTCCTCTGTGGCAAATAGATGCCACTTCCCTTACCATCTCTTTGGCTATGACTCTCCCTTTGTCACAGTCTCCATCTTTTGCAACAATTTCCCCATTTCACCTTTCACTGCCCTTTCACTTCCTCTTCTCTTTACCTGCTGTCTCTCTGAACCTACTGGAGCTCTCTATTGATTTATTTCCAAAAAATGGATTCAAACCCAATCTCACAATTCTCTTGTTCCCCCCCTCCCCATCAGGTTTTCATTAGCATTATACTTTAAATGAACAAAATATACTTAGTCTGGGGTAGAACTGAACCATTACTGGGTAAATATAAACCAGAAAGCTAATCCTTCACAACCCTTTATTTGCCAGCAGATGGAAGGATTTTGGCCATGCTTTGGCCATAACAGACAGACAGGATACAAGGCTTGATTCTGTAAGGTGTTAAGTGCATTGGCTCAAATCCAGCAAATACTTAATACTTGCTTAACTTTAACCACCTGAACAGTTGCACTGACATCAGTGAAAACATTCAGATGTTTAAAGTAGCATTCATACTTAATGTCTTTTCTGGATCATGATGAGGGCATTCAGCACTTGCAGGATGGATACGACAGCAACTAGAACCCTGTAAGATGCATTCTATGTAAGGGTGGTGATGAAATCCCTTTGTTAATTTGAAAATGCAAACTGTTAATACATGGACCCTCTGTGCATGGAGCTGGGAGCCTGACCCTGGGACATGGTCTGATGGTTTTAGGTCTTGATTCAATATATCTCTTTGCTCAATCCACCTACTTTTTTTCAGGTGTTACAGCTACCAGACATACTGATAATGAAGCAAAGTTCAGGAATGATAGGGACTACAAGGGTAGACATGGTAGGGAATAACATTTGTGTCCATTTTCACATTTAATCTAATAGGTCCCATTTAATTTATAACCATGAAGAGCAATGACACTCTGGAACACCTTTTCAATAGGTCTTAGATGGAATCTGATTATTTTATGAGAGGGATTATATGACATGTTTATAGGGATTGGTTTTAAGGGCCCAAGAGGTCCTACCTATCCTATGATCCTGATTATGGATGTGAGGTGGTCATAGGGGCTATAGAGAGGGAGCTCTATTCATTTTCAGTCTCTGTTTGGTAGAGCCAGAACTTATTTTCAGACTATGATACAAGTCCTATCTTTCTTTCCAGTATTTTTCCTAAGGGATACTTTGTTAGGTGGAGATCAGGGGAAAGATTATGCATTTTGGGGGCTACTTAGAAGAGTTTAATATAATTTTTAGGACTTTGTTTTCCATTTTAGTTACCTGAGATCTGAACATGACCTGTGGGCCAGATCTGGTCTCTGGTGCCAGGTCATCCAGCCCACAAGGCTCCAAAATTTGGTGGCAGGGGAGCAGAGGCAGACCCATAGGGAGCCCTGTAGGCTGGAAAGTATAGCCTACACACAGGAGTGGCATGGGGCCCCAGAGGCCCATTCCAACATTCAGGGCCTGATCCAAGCACACAGGGCAGGTGTGGGACCCTGATCCCCCAATTCCAGTGTGCTGGGCTGGGGTGATGTGGGACCCTAGAGCCCAATCCCAGAATACAGGGCCTGATCTCAGCATTTGGGATTGTGTGGGGTTGGTGTGAAAGCCTGTTCCTGGCACATGGGGGTGGTGCAGGGTTCAGTCCTAGTGTACAAGGCTGAATCTGGCTCATGGACTGGCCTCACGTCAGTCATCTGACCAATGGGACTTTGACAGGAGTGTCTCTTCTGGAGTCTATTGGTGACCCCGCCCTCCTGTTACGGGCCAACCACCTGCC